AAAGTGAACTTCCTGCGTGGACTTGATATCACCATGTTCGACCTCCGAGTTTGGTGTTTTTATTTCACATGTCCAAGATAAAAACCTCATCTGGAAATATTAGTTTGAACCTTCTTCACTTTACATAAACTTTTTTTAATAATGTGAAATATAAAACTAATTACTGTTAAACTGTATTGTTAAATGTGATTGTGCATTCTTTCTAAGGCTTTAAACTCATGCATTTAATGATCGTTAAGTGTAGCAAAAACAAGAAGATATGAAACTCATTGAGAGGAAATTATTTAAAGATGAGTTGCTGTTTCTGGGATAAATAAAAACTTTATGTAAGAAAACTGACTTAATGCCGTTTGTTTAAATTACTTTTATTTTTCTGACAAAGTGAGGAAATACAAAATTTCAAGTTCATAGAGGGGTGATTTGTTTTCAAACCTGCAGGTGATTCTGATGTTGAGGTTTCATGTCTGCTCTGTCCTATAGTCTGTACACTCATTCTTTAATATAGAGAAGAACGACCAAAATCCCATCAGTGTCTCCAACAAAGTTGCCTGTCTCAAGAGTCCATCCAACTGGTCCACACAAGTGGAAACATCATCATGCTTCATTTGCTCTACTGCGCCATCAAGTGGACAATAAGTGTGAACAAGTTTATAATGATCTGACAGGACAGAAGCAGCCCAATGAATTCTGAGGTATTCAGAGCCAAACTGTGTGCTCAGATCAGCCAAATGCAGCCAAACTGATTGGTCATCATTCAGTGACCCAAAACATAAAGCCAAAGCAACCCAGGAGTTTATTACAGTTTTTTATTGGTTGGTTTGATACTGCCGTCAACTCAAAAACACATTTTCAAAACAGTTAACACAGAGGCCACAGTGGTCAAAATGACACATTTTGTTTGCAAAAGGCAATAACTGTGTCAAAACATTTAAAATATGGAACAAAAGCAAACTTTGTCTTCAAACAACTCAACTTTGACACAATGTATGAGCACCTCCAAACAAGCAGTACACAATGGGCAACAAAATACAGAACTCGTGTGAATCAGTGCACCATTGCCTGTCATTGTGGCCTATGACTGTACGTAGCTTACATGCCAGTGCTGTTTGTAGTCACATTTGCCCTCTTGCAAAAATGCATCCAGAAGCAAAAATGGTTTGATGCAAATTTTGATTACATTTTTTTTCAGACTGTGCCTGACAAATGAAATACAGTTTTTACTGATTGCTTTGACCTGCTTGAAGAATCTCAAAACCATCTCAAAAACAATCAATAAAAACTGTATTCCAACAGAGGACACATGAAAATAGAAATAAAATCCTTTACTGTGTGAGAAATTAGGTAAATAAAAACACAGTCTTTTAGGCCTTTAGATTAGACCTTTATTGTCATTGTACAGAGCACAATGAAATTACAGTTCAGAACACCCATTCAGAAGAAGACGGAACATAACAAACAAAGGAGAACAGGTATTCTGGGTCATACTCCCACTGACCCTGCACAGAGCAAGGATCATCTTCATGAAGACATCATGAGGAGGTGCAACCCTCCTAAAACAAAAAACTAAAAAAAAAAAAAACTAAAAACCACACAAGGACAGATGAGGGGAAAAAACCGAAAAGAAACATAACATTACTATAAAAGTACAAGAGAACAACACAGGCCTGCAGACTGATTGCAAATTGAAAAATTCTGTGAAGAAGTGTCAAACAGGTGCGTTCGGTGTTTCATACTGACAGCTAAAAGGAAGTTTGGACTTCTTGAATGACGTCTGTGTTAACTGTTTTGCAAAAGGGTGGAAAACTGTGTCAATCCAATGAGAATGTGTTAACACATTGCAAGAGGTGTCTTCTGCTCTGCTGAGATGGTGATGACAAAGGTTCCCAAAGAGGTTCCCAGTTTCTTCAAACAGGTCAAACCAGTCAATAAAAACTGTAAAGCAAAGAAGTGGAATATTCTTGAATGGCCAAGTCAGTCACCTGATCTCAACCCATCTGAGCTTGTTAAAGACTAAACTTCAGACAGAGGCCCACAAACAAACAGCAATTGGAAACTGCTGCAGTGAAGGCCTGGCAGAGCACTTAAAAGGAGGAAACACAGCGTCTGGTGATGACCATGAGTTCAAGACTTCAGACAGTCATTGCCAACATCAAGTACCGGTACTAGAAATGAATATTTTATTTACAATTATACAATCTGTCCAATTACTTTTGAGCCTCTGAAATGAAGGGATTGTGTTTAAAAGATGCTTTAGTTCCTCACATTTTTAAACTTTAAAATTTGTTGTGGTAATGTCTAGGACCAAAATTAGAAAAATGTTTCTGTCCAAATATGTATGGACATAACTATGTTTTGGGCTATTTTAGCACAATTTATTTTTCCATATTTCCATCTAATGTTCACAATATTGTTACTGTGATTTAAGGCTTTTGTAACCATTTTTTACAACTTTGTTTTCATCAAAAGAGATTATTTTAAATCCTTGAAAAAAAAAACTTTGAAATCCACTTTAGCATACATTCTTCATTTTTAGCTTTTAAGTGCTGTTTTGCATAGTTTAATTTAATTCATTTCAGTTTACATAGTGCGAAGCCCATCCATTAACAATAGATTTAAAAAAAGTATATCTCATGGTCACGTGATAATTATTAGTCATTTTCATGCAGAGACTGTTGACTGATTACGGACAAGTTAAAATTTTATTTCATTTAAATTTGGGAATGAAGGACGTACTTCAGTCACTTACGTTAAGCATACGTAATTCTTAGCATTTTAAGTAGCAACTATAAGATAAATGAGACAACTGGATTTGTATGTTAAAAAAGGCTCAATTTTTTTTTTCTTTAAAGCTCTGCACTCAAAACAGGCTACTCTCTAATTGCCTTAAAATTTAGTTTTCAGCTACCATTTTTAGGTTTGTAGCTATGGTTTTATTTATATAGTGCCAAATCACAACAAATGTCATCACAGGGCACTGTGTGTAAAAAATAAAATTTAATTAAAAATTTAAAAGAAGTTTAAAGAAGACAGCAGATTGTGTTGAATCTTCACTTTGTCAGTCTCATCCTGAGCAGCATTGGCAGCAGTGGAGAGGAAAAACTCCCTTTTAAAGGGATCCCTGATTAGTTGTAACATTAGACTTTATTTGACAAACATTTATTTTAACTGTAAAATAAAGACTATAAAAATATTGTAGGCCGTTTAGTTTTGTAAATTTTTAAAAATATATTTTAACACGGACAGAGCCATTTTATTTTATCTCAAGCTTTTACCCTGCAAATTGATAATCAGATCATTAGATGTAAAGAAAAAGTTAGAAACCTAGGCGTGTGGTTTGATCCCGAGCTTTCTTTTGACTTCCACTTAAAGGAAGTAACTTATCCCACCTCTGGAACATCGCCAAAATCCGGCACTTCCTTTCTTTTGATGATGCTGAGGTTCTTATTCACGCTTTTGTGACCTCACACATCGATTATTGCAATTCCCTCCTTTCTGGACTATCCAAGAAAAGTTTTAGATGTCTGCAGATGGTCCAGAATGCAGCTGCTCGTATTTTAACTCATTCCAAGAAATTTGACCACATCACTCCTGTACTGTTATCCCTTCACTGGTTGCCCTGTCAGATTCGGGCTCATTTTAAAGTGTTTTGCTCACCTATAAGGCTTTAAATGATCTGGCGCCTCTGTATCTTACCAGCCTCTTGCACTAATATATTCCACCACGCTGTCTCAGATCTGAAGGTACTGGCCCATGAATAATCCCAAAAGCCAGAAGAAAGACCTTTGGTGAACTTTTCTCTTTTCGTGCCCCCTTTCTGTGGAGCAGTCTCCCTCAGGACATCAGGCAGGCTTGTTCTTTTGAGGCTTTTAAAGCTAAGTTAAAGACGCACCTGTTTAAATTATTTTACTTTTCTTAATTTTATCCCTTGTTATCATTGCCTTGCCCACTACTGTGATTTTATCTCATTTTCTGTGTTTTTACTTGTTCTTTGTGATCTTATTTTTTACTTCGTGACTTCACCTTTTGTCATCTGTGATTTTATCTCTTGTCCAGCGCTTTGTTTGAAAGCGCTTTACAAATAAAAGTTATTAATATTATTATTATTTACACGCAAAGCATTCTGGGTAAATGATGACGTGGATAGGTCCTCAGTGTGAGTGAGCTATATCCACCCTGAAGGTTAATCTTGGACAATATCTGATGATCGACTCTTTTAAATGAAACCAAAGAGCGTTGACAGAGAGAACGTTGAAACGATTCAGTCTACAACTGAAAATGTGGAAGAACGTCAGCTTAGCCCTTTCACAAATCTGAAACTTAGTTTTAAATATTATTTTATTAGTGTATTCTAGGTGTTTTTGAGTTGGACCAGGTCTAGTGTGATCGTTGCATGAAAAATGATGTAAAACTAATTTTGTTGAAGTTTCACAAATCAGAAAAAGCTTTCACAAATCTGAAACTTAGTTTTAAATATTATTCTATTAGTGTAGAATAATCTGGTCCAGGTTTGAAGAGTCTGGGTGTTGTAGTTTTGGAGTTGGACCAGGTCTAGTGTGTTCCAGTAGCCTAAAAAAAATATGGAAAACATTTGTTTCACAAATCAGACAAAGATTTCACAAATGTCAAAGTTATTTTTAAATATTCTGCGATTAGTGAATAATCCAGTCCAGGTTTGAAGAGTCTAGGTGTTATAGTCTTTGAGCAAGAGCAGATTAAATACGTCAAGGTAGTGAAAAATTAGTTGTAATCGCCCTTTAGTATGTTTATTGGGGCGTGGCCAGACCTCGAAGTTGACCTTCTCGCCAAGATTTTCAAAACGCTGTAACTTCCACATAGATAGACCGAATTCCATCAAGCACACTGTGAGTCAACCATGTTGGATGCTTGATGAAACTATTTAGTCATTTCCCGAATCGGGAGCTAACTACAGCTTTGTGCCGTCACCCACGTCAAAATTCAGAAGACATTCAGCCCCATTCTTGTCACAGCAATCCACTCTCTTTCTTTTTTAAAGTTTATTCAATATTTTTCTCACTGAATAAATATCTGGTCTGCCTGTAACACTGCAGAATAAATACAAGAAACACATTACAATCAAAAAACTCCCCACATGATTCATCCTACAGTCACTTCCTGCTGCAGTTTTGTGCTTCTCTTACGAGTCCAGTCTAAGCGCTTTTCTCATGATTTTAACAGGGTTGTTTAAAACAAATCAACTAACTGTACAGCTGGACAGGTATGACAGATTCTTCTGCACTAAAGTTAAAAACAATCTTTATAAAGCTTAGTCAGTGTCCTTCCTGAGGATCGAACAAACACACACATTACATACAAATACACACAGCAACACAAGTTTGCACTAAAGAGAAAAAAAATATTCCAGACTGCAGGATGTTTTTAAAACCTTCAAACACTTAAAGAGGAAAAATAAATATTTCACTTGTACATTAAATGAGAATTAGGAGCATTTAGGAAAAAAATAAACAAAAGATGATGGTTTCTGTTTTTGAATTACATTTGACAAACATTATATTTGCTCTTAATATTTTAGACTTTCTGCATGTGTTTGCTCAGATTTAGCTTTTTCTATGGACAGCTGTTGACATCCGTCCACCAACTTCATTCAACAAGCTTAAAAGGATATATTAAAAGGAAAAGATCTAAAAGAAATCCACACTGATTCTTCTGCTCAGGACAAAAACTTTTTCAAGAGCAGCTTCTTTTTTGATATCATCCATCAGATGTTAAAGTTAATTGGTTAGTCAGACATTTTAAATAGGATGTTCATTCCCCGTTTCTTTTAGCTCAAAAGAAACAGTAAGAAAATCAAGTAAATGAACAACAATCATCTGTTTTTAAAAGCTTAAAAAGCTAAGTCTCTTTTGTCAAATAAAACCTGAAAACTCTGTCACGGTTTACGAACTTGAAAAAAGGTTTCCTCCTGTTTGGTGAACTTTAATCCTTTTTAAATCTAAAATAGAAAAAAAGAAATATCTTTGAAGTATAGCAGTATCAGCATTTGATATCCTCAAACCTTTATAACTTTGGCTGGTTTTTATCAATGTTTAAAAAAAAGAAATACTGGATTAAATAATAAATTAAATATATCTTCACATGAATAGGTTAAAATAACTAAATGTTTTGATTTTAAAGTTAAACACTGATGACTTTAAACATTCATGTAAAATTTCACAAATTGTGATTGAAGCTGATATTCTCTGATGATCTACAACTGTATGAATACAATGAATTAGACTGATCCCCGTGATGAAACAAATACACATCACTTTATCTTATGTACATGAATAAATACCTTAGACACACAATTATCCACTGCTTTAAACTGAAATAAGGAACATTTGAAACAAGGAAACCAAACTCTTCACAACACCTACAGCTTCCTGTTTCAACTTTTCAAAATAAAACACCCTTAAACAGGAACCGTGAGCTCCATTTGTGTCCCCAAGGAAGAGATGATGGTTTATACTGAGGGAGGAGTTTGACTTGAGTTTGGATAAGAAAGTTAACATTTATTATCAGGAGATTAATGAGCATCCTGCTCCTAATTGCTAGTTCCATCACAGCATCCCGTCCAGGTTCTTCTCAGATTTCTCCTTCTCCGTGGTGCTGTTTTGTGGGCTGTACTTGTTGTGGTAATCTTGGAGGATGGTGACAACATCATGATGTCCGAAGTGTACCGCCTCATCCATTGGTGTGTTCCCCCACCTGCAGAAAACAGAAACAATGTCATTATTTTACATTTTTGAACAGTATGAATTTCTATTACTGACAGTGTTGGGTGTGTTTCACCTGTTATATAGTATGAACCAATTGTGCGATTGTGTAGCGGTCAGCGTTCAATCTGTGTAGCTTGTAAACGTGTTTATAATGTCCACTCAGAGTGTAAACGTGGATTCTTGGGAGATGAATACATTAAAAAAAGCTGCTTCAGATCAAAACATTCCTTGAAAAAAGCACACTTCTGGTCTAAGTTTTAACCAAACATCTCATGTGATCAGTTAGATTCATAAGGACAATAAATGAACGGAGAAAAACAATAATAAGATCAGCAGTTGCAGAAGTTTTGTTTTCACGTTTCACTCCATCGTGAAACGTGAAAACGTGATGAGCGGTTAGGAGAGTCGTCCTTCAATTGGCGGTTCGATTCCCCGCTATTCAGTCACATATCGAAGTGTCCCTGAGCAAGACACTGAACACCCACTACCTCTGATGTGTGTCCCATCAGTAAATCATATTCATGTCTGGATTAGCTTTGTAGAGAGACATTTTAGAGTGCTGAATGAATGTGTGCATGTGTGAATGGATAAATAAGGACAAACTGTGTCGTAAAGCGCTTAGAGTATCCAGGTTGGATAGAATACAGTCCATTTAAGTTTTCAGTAAAAATTATGTTAATTTTCTGCAACAGTCCATTTACAGTATGTGATGGAAAACAAGAAACTGTCTGGATGTTATAGAGTTAAAGAAAAACAGATGAATGTATTCAGAATGTACAGAATTGAAACCCAGAACTCTCTGGTGCAGGTTTAAAGCTGCAGTCTGTAACTTTTATAAATATATATACTGTATATTTTTTACATATTTGTTAAAGCTGTCACTATGTCCCGACAGACTGATATTAGACCGATAATCTCTGAAAAAACAAAAACCCTCTGGCTCCTCCCAGTGGTCCTACAGCCATCTGTTCAAATCCACCGCTTCTGAAGGAAAAGAGCAAATCAAAGCTCAGAGGTTTGTCTCACAGGTATCAATCATGTTTGTGAACGAGCTGCTCACACCTACTCCACCCTGCCCGCAGTGCGCAGCCACGCACACACTCATTCAAGCTCCCAACTCAGGCTGTGCTGTGTGGGAGGAGCTAAGGAAGGTGGGCTGAAGCTTAACTGAGAGC